CACCACTAGTTGCATACATGCTTTAGGATCCTACCTCTGTTTCGAGTCTTGGCCTTACTACTAGTAAGAAGCTACTAGTAACAAAGAGCATCGCTACTAGGAGCAAGGACGCTACTAGGGGCTCCTGGCCACACTACTAGTAACAAGAAGCTACCAGTAACAAAGGGCATCGCTACTAGGAGCAAGGACGCTACTAGGGGCTCCTGGCCTTACTACTAGCAACAAGAAGCTACTAGTAACAAAGGGCATCGCTACTAGGAGCAAGAAGCCACGAACTGTTCACCAAGCAAAAACGGTTTTCCTGCTGGTAAACACCTGGCGTGTGCCCCTGGCAGCGGGAGTATTGCTTTTGAGCGCTGATTGCAACTGCCCGACGAAGTTCCACGGAACAGCGGCGACATAGTATGTTTCTGTGTATTCCTTCGCTGTGGGTATCGGACAAAAACGTGGAGGCCCACCCTGTGGGACTGTGTATTGATGACAATGGGTGTTTCTGGGGTTACGCAAGATGTCCTTGATGTGTTTTGAAGAGACAACTGGTATTATATAGCTAACAGTTTTTGTATCAATAGAGTATAGTTTATTGTTGTGTATTATTATATATATATATATATTGTCCATTTCATATATATATATATATATCAAGCCTTCGAGATGTCTTTGGTGTCTAAAAAGGGACCATTGATCACACATTTTTCCTCCCCATCCCTTCGGATCCTTCGGACAGTTCAGCTTCTCCCAGGAACATGATGTTCCCCTTCGTGGTGCCTTTACGCCACACCGGCGCGGAGCCCGCGGCCATCATGCGTTTCGTGCTGAAGAGCGAGACACGTTTCCAGCCACTCGGGCAAGAGATGGGATTCCAATCCAAGAGTCTTCCAAAGTGAGTTTCTGAAGACTAGTCCTGGGGTTGGGCTGCCAAGCTTGTGGAGTCCTGGGCAGATTTTTTTTTGACCATTTGTCACACAACCCAAACTATCCAAACTGGTCATTGCGCCAGCTTAAGGGAGTCAAAGTGTTGTAACTTCTCCAGGTTCTTCTTCCTCATTCTTGATCTTTTGGCCTAAGTTTGTTTCTTGTTCCATTGTATATATATATTATATCTGCCCAGAATGGAAATGCAAATGATCTTTGAAGCCAGGCCTGGTCTTCTCTTGGGACCAGGTAGAGGATTTCGATCTTACTTTGACCAGGCAAAGCAAGGCATCAACCATTGAAGATGACATCAGGGAGCAGTACCACTCTGCTTTTCGCGACCACATGAAATGAACCCAAGCCGCCGCAAACAACTGAAATGGAGGAATGTATGCTGATGTGATGGAGGTAGATAATACTCTTCCAAGCTTAGGGCAATGATGGGACAGTTCCTCAAGGACGTTTGTGTCAACAGTTAGTTTGTTTTTCCACTTAAGAACCCTCGTCCAAGAGCTGCTTGTTGGTCGAAGCCTCTTCGACTCGAAGATCGGCTTGATCAGCCTTTTGATGGACTGTCCCCTTTTCGCACTACCTCAATTGCCATCAATTGTCCATTTGGATCCATTTGGGATCATCGGGGATATTCTGCAACAAGTACCAGGAGGACATCCTTGCAACGAATTGTCTCGCACACCGTTGGATTGGTGGCACCTCTTGACATAGTCAATGGTAGTTACATCAGATGTACATCAGTGCATCTCCTAGCCTTGTGCAATGAGTGTAAATGAAGCCATGGCCTGGCGATCAGAATTTGAGCGCTTTCACAGTATCCAGTAGTGGACGAGCTCCAACACCGCCATAGCATTGTATTCCCCATCCACCTTCGATGTGCTTGACTCATATCGAAAAGGGTTGAGGTTTTCTCAGCGAGGTCAGGTCGAGGCACGACCAGTACCGAGTACTCCATTTGGTGTGCCAAAGCGGGAAGGTTGGAACGGTATAAAGTCCGACAAGTCCCGCTTCCGCTAAGGACCCTGAGATGCAGCTCTCACATGCTCTCACCACGACGCCAGCACGTCCCTACTCCACACAACCCATGCTCAGGATTGAAAGCACATCCGGCACGGGCACGGTCACCGTGCATGCGGAGGGTGGCATCAACAAGTCGCCTTTACGCGGAGAGGAGACGGTTGAATTGTTGGGGATGGGGAGTCAATGGGAAGGACGGTCCATTACTTAGATGGAAGCATGTGTTCAAGAGACTTGTTTTGTTTGATTTCTTTCAGTTGTCCATGTTCCTTTGCTCTTGAAAGCTCTTGCAGTCTTTCTGAGAGAGGAAATAAATGGAAATATACAATACAATATACATGTAAATATATATATATATATATACTTGTAGGTAGATATAAATATATATGGAATATATTATTTGTATACATATCCTTGTTGGCACGAGCAAGAAGCAGGGGCTCGATTCTCCTTGATCAAGCCAGCACCGCCAAGCACACCTGTAGCTCTCAATATAGGTATATAAGTAATCAGTACCGGCCCCAACACCAGACTTGCTTGCGTACAGGGCCAACATGTACATATATGCAAATAAATATATATATATATATGTTTGTTCTGTTGCCCCTTCATAGTTTGCTCTTCTTTGCATTGGGAACCAATCTCACTGCACTTAGGCCTGTGTGCCTGATACCAGTCGCGTTTCACTCCTGAAGTCTGGTGCGCATGGTGATATATATATATATACACATAGTTGTTCTATTTAACTATATTTTGCTTGGCACCATACCAATGAAGACTCTCTATGATTTCAATCAATTGCCTTTACATTTACATTTCTACGTATAAGGATCATTGGGAAGATCCCAGGAGCTTAAGTTACGAAAGCCAGCCTTCGTAGAAGGCGCTAGCGGAGTTGTGTCTGGCGAACGAAGTGAGTAGTTAGGGGGTCTGGGGGGGTGGCCCGAGAAAGGTATACGTCAACTCGGCACATGCTGGGGGAGGAGGGTGCTCCGAGGGAAGGTTTTTTGAGGTTGTGTTGGAGGTGATTTTTGACGGGTGGTGATGCAAGAAATGCCAAGTGCATCGTTTGCATCATCTGAATGGAAAGGTGTAGTTGGCACCTTGCAAGGTATAGAGACCTAGGGTAGCCATAGTGCAGCTACCAGGTATAGTACTTCAAGTTGCCTTTCCGTCAACCGCTTGAGAACCTCTACACACGCACAGCAATCCACAGCTTTGAAGTCTCATTCGTGCTTTGAACTTGTATAGGTGTGTAAGAGGTATAGCAACATAGTATTTATACGGACCCAGGGTAGCTACAAGTAGCTACAGTTCTGTTCCCGGGTATGGCGCGCATGAGGCTTCAAAGCTGTGGTTTTCAAGCTAAATTCAAGGTGGCCTGAGACCAGGGTTTGCTGCCCTAAAGCACTCTGTTCAGGCCACCTTGAAAATAAAGGTGTAGTTGGCACCTTGCCAGGTATAGACACCCAGGGTAGCTATGTAGCTGTGGTTTTCAAGCTAAATTCAAGGTGGCCTGAGACCACGGTTTGCTGCCCTAAAACACTCTGTTCAGGCCACCTTGAAAATAAAGGTCTTGTAGCGACAATTCTGTTCCCAGGTATGGCGCGCATGAGGCTTCGAAGCTGTGGTTTTCAAGCTAAATTCAAGGTGGCCTGAGACCAGGTTCAGGCCACCTTGAAAATAAAGGTGTAGTTGGCACCTTGCCAGGTATAAAGACCCAGGGTAGCTATGTAGCTGTGGTTTTCAAGCTAAATTCAAGGTGGCCTGAGACCACGGTTTGCTGCCCTAAAACACTCTGTTCAGGCCACCTTGAAAATAAAGGTGTAGTTGGCTATAGTGCAGCTACCAGGTATAGTACTTCAAGTTCCCTTTCCGTCAACCGCTCGATAGCCTCTACGCACAGCAATCCACAGCTTTGAAGTCTCATTCGTGCTTTGAACTTGTGTAGGTGTGTAAGAGGTATAGCAACATAGTATTTATACGGACCCAGGCTAGCTTCAGAAGAGCACTCCGATACTTCACTTACAGCACTCCTTGAAGAGCATGAGTCGCTTGCGCATAGCCACCAGAAACAAAGGATCTTAGTCTTACTGGAAGTGGAATGAAACACCAGGACCTTCAGAATGACCTCTTTGGAGTCTCCAAGTGACCTCATTCGGGACTAAGTGACTAAGTGACCTCATTCTGGGATCTCGGACGGTCACTTTGAAGGTCCTGGTAGACACCAAATGATGTCAATGTGGATAGATTTGGCTACGGCCTAAAACATCGGATTCCATCCAAACCCCCCCCTGTGCAGAGGAAAAATCCGGGCAAAATGACACCGAACCCCTCAATTGCCAGGAAGCGCAGGTTTTTGTTTTGACATGGTTACCTCTGTGTGGGCAGAACAAGACATGAAGCAGATTTGACACGCGGCCGCAAGCAGCTGCGCGAGCTCATTTGCTTGCTTCCACGCGCAGTTGTCGAGAAAGGGAAGCGCTGGCTTTCGTTTTGCAGCTTCTCAGGTTGGGATCGTGGTGGTAGCAAGAGTTCCATTTGGTAGCAGGCTTTAACGGGAAGATCCGCTAAAATGCCATCCTCTTGGAAGAATGTGTTGGTTGCTCTCCAGTAGCGCTGCAGGAAGCCGAGATAGACCAGGCGGCAAAGGCGAACCCTGTGGACTTGGAGGAATTGAGATCCCGGATCGATGAGGTTGTTCCCACCAAGGACAGTGGGCACAGGAAGGAACCAGCCAGCGACCACAGTTGTGCCAGCTTGGGGTTTGCACGGACTTGCTTCATTGGTTGTTGTGCCGACTCATGAGTTATTGCATGTGTTCATCCATTCCTCAAAGCGGATGGAGGTGCAGTTCTGATAGATCTTGAGCATCCACAAGATTGCATGGCCCATCCCCAAGTCGACAGAATCCTCCCTGGACGCATGTCAATGTGGTGACTAAGTATACACATGCCATGTCAACATCTGTCAACTGATCTCATGGGCGTTCGCAAAGTTAATGCCTCCAACCTGCCATGCACCTCATGTGTCACAGATCTAGGAATCAAGGCCCTTGCAAAGTCTAAACTTATGTTCTACTGCATACGACCCTCCATAATAGTGCGACGTGTTGCGTGGACCGTCACAGCGACATCATGGCAACACCCCAGCCACACCCTGCAACATGCACCGTTGTGCTTTACCACGCAATCTGACCGTTTACATGATTCCACCCGTTGTCACTGCATCAAATATGGGATATTCGATCTTGGCAGCGAAAAACGCGTTGCGTAGCTGTTGGAACCCGGACCCCATCGTGGGCAGCAGGCGGTCACAGTGGATTGGGTGCCTCCCTCGCAGGATGTGTACGCCGCCATCGATGGTGTTGGCCTGTATTTGGGGCCCATGTTCCAAACGGCGAAGCAGCTTTGGCGGAAAGAGCCTGAGGAAGGAAGTGAGAGCAAGGCACATTGCTGGGGAGCCAGAGCGTTCCTAGGAGGCTTAAAGAGTGGTGGGAGTTGTCCTAGGTGTATGATTGGATGATTTGTAGCAGATTGTAGCATTAGATGTTACTGTAGGTATATTTATATGTAATTATATATATCTATATATTGGCTATTTATAAATATCCCAGCCGCCAAAAGATATAACAATTCCTGTGATAGGGTCTGTTATGTTAGAGGCGGTTTAAGTTGGCATGCGATTGTTTGACGTTGACTAGGCAGTTAGCAGATCATGACTGCCCATTTAGCTTTGATTCAAGTACAGTACTTTACATGTCAGCCAATTTCCAAGTCTGTTTTGTTGGCTTCCCCTGCTCACCTGTTCGTATGTTGGCACCAAGTTCATCCAAGTTCTGCTAAAGACAAGAGCTACTAGGGCCCATGTTGAGGGCTCTTCCATCCAGGGCAACCGGGTTAAGAAACTCAAGGCTGAAACATTTCCGCCTGTTGCCCCGACTTGACAACAAAATCAGATCCGAAGAGGCTGCGGCCAGTGGCCAGTATCGGACATTGGACTCATCTCTCCCCATCACATGGTACCTCACCACTCCTCCCGGTCCCTATCCATTGGGCCTCCAACTTTTCCGTGCATGTGTGCGCAGGTGATTGAAGTCCTTGGACGAATCTCGGCCAGAATGGCCAGTTGGTAGCGCACTTGCCAGATGTTGGACTTGACTGGCCTGATTAGTCCGTAGGTATCCAACAATGATGATTCACCATTCACACCAGAGTGTCTTTAGAGAAGGTGGTGAGGACCTGCAGGTGTTGAAGAAGCCTTTGGATGTGGTGTAGCACATTGACATCCGAGGATTGAAGCTTGATGACGGTGTGCCCAATGTGGGCCGCGCACTCAGTCAACCTTTTTCCCGAATGCGTAGCGAAGGGTTCTCGTTTAACTCTGGGGGTCTGGGGGTAGAGAGTCTTGTTCGCGATCCGTTGTTTCTATGTTCGCAACCGTCCGCAACCGTTCGCAACCGTCCGCAACCGTTCGCAACCGTTCGCAACCGTCCGCAACCGTTCGCAGTAGGACGCTAAGGCGCTGCCATTGGGGGAAGCTTTTGCAAGTGACTTTTCATGGATGTGTCACGTGTCAGTTTGCGACGCTATTCCATTGTGATTTGCATGAAAATGACATGTCGCGCAAGAAGCGTGATGCATTTCGCTGCACAGGCGCAGTGGTTTGAGAGATCCGCAGTTTACTGCGCAGTTCCATTGGGATTAGCGTTTGGAGAGTCGTGTTTTTGGGGTGTTGGGTGTGGCCGTGCCATTGGGATTTGCATTTCAGGGTGTGGCATCGAAGCTCTGTTTTCGCGACAAGTCTCAGCTGAAATGGCGATTTTGGTGGATGGGAGTGTGCTCAGAACGGGTCGAAATCATTCTAAACGTGTGGTGTGGTGCAAATTTTGTTGAAGCTCATGTGAGATGATATTCTCACTTTTCGTGGCAGGCACAGTACTTTGTGCTGATTTTGAGGTGTGGAAGTGCGATTTTCGTGGCAGGCGCAGGAAATCGTGAGGTTGCGAGGTGTGACGGAGTTGACATTTCGTGGCAGGCGCAGTACTTTGTGCGCGTTAGACGTGTGGATGCGGAAAGATTCGTGGCAGGCGCAGGGAATCGTGAGGTTGTGAGTTGTGGTAGAGGTGACTGTCGTTGTCTCATTGGGATTGGCGTGTGAGCGGGTGTTGTTTGGAGGGGCTGGAATCGCGAAACTGCTTGGCAGGGCTGCGTGATGTGTGTGCTCCGATGGGTGTTTCCGCTTGACTTTTGGAGGAAGTCTTGTACGAAACGCTCGTTTTGGAGACTTTGACACGTGAGTTTTTGAGGAAGTCTCGTACGAAACGCTCGTTTTGGAGACTTGACATGTGGCTTTTGGAGGAAGTCTCGTACGAAACGCTCGTTTTGGAGACTTGACGTGTGACTTTTGGAGGAGGTCTCGTACGAAACGCTCCGTTTTGGAGACTTGACGCGTGACTTTAGGAGGAAGTCTCGTGCGAAACGCTCGTCTTGCAGCCTCGAAGCGTGACTTTTGGAGGAAGTCTCGTACGAAACGCTCGCGTGACTGCTTCTAGTGTGTGGGCAGACCGTGTCGCGACACGAGTGTCCCACAAGAGTGTCCCACAAGAGTGTTCCACAAGAGTGTCCCGCAACCGTGTCCCACAAGAGTGTCTCACAAGAGTGTCCCTTAAGAGTGTCCCACAAGAGTGTCCTATAAGAGTGCCCCACAAGAGTGTCCTACAAGACCCACAAGAGTGTCCTACAAGAGTGTCCCACAAGAGTGTCCTGTAAGAGTGACCCACAAGAGTGTCCTACAAGAGTGTGTCACAAGACTGTCCCACAAGAATGTCCGACAAGAGTGTCCCATAAGAGTGACCCACAAGGGTGCTTTTGAGAGTGTCCCACAAAGAGTGTCCTACAAGAGTGTCCTGTAAGAGTGACCCACAAGAGTGTCCTACAAGAGTGTCTCGCAAGAGAGTGTCCCATAAGAGTGACACACAAGAGCGCCCCACAAGAGTGTCCCACAAGAGTGTCCCACAAGAGTGCCCCGTAAGAGTGGCCCACAAGAGTGTCCTACAAGAGTGTCCCACAAGAGTGTCCTACAAGAGTGTCCCGCAAGAGTGTCCTACAAGAGTGTCCCAAAACAGTCCCCCGCAAGAGTTTCCTACAAGAGTGTCCTACAAGAGTGTCCCACAAGAGTGTCCCAGAAGAGTGTCCCACAAGAGTGTCCTACAAGAGTGCCCCACAAGAGTGTCTTACAAGAGTGTCCGACAAGGGTTTCCTACAAGAGTGTCCTATAACAGTGTCCCACAAGAGTGTCCCACAAGAGTGTCTCACAAGAGTGTCCCACAAGAGTGTCCTACAAGAGTGTCTCACAAGAGTGTCCCACAAGAGTGTCCTACAAGAGTGTCTCACAAGAGTGTCCCGCATGTCCCACAAGAGTGTCCTACAAGAGTGTCCGACAAGAGTGTCCCATAAGAGTGACCCACAAGAGTGTCCCACAAGAGTGTTCTACAAGAGTGTCTCACAAGAGTGTCCCACAAGAGTGTCCTACAAGAGTGTCCCACAAGAGTGTCCTACAAGAGTGTCCCACAAGAGTGTCCCACAAGAGTGTCCTATAAGAGTGTCCCACAAGAGTGTCCTACAAGAGTGTCCCACAAGAGTGTGCTACAAGAGTGTCCCACAAGAGTGT